ACGAAGCCTAAAAATATGTACGCCATAACTATAAGCAAGGTGTATACAAATTTATATATTCGGGACCCAGTTGGATTCTTCTTGGACCCGGGTCATGCGACCAAAATCATTGCAACTAGATTACATTCAGTTATTATGTATTTTAGAGGAGGAAGCGGGCTAACAGCAGTGATCTATTGTTACAAAACCTATATTTGGTAGTATGCCGGTCTTCTAAAATCCACAATTGTACCGAGAAACCCATTGGCGAAGTGCCATATACGACCAAGTTTGGTGACCCTAGCAACACAAGTTTTCTTCATCCAGGCATAACAATTTGACCAGACGGAGCTCACAGTGGTCTGCTACCCAAATGAGAGAAGCTAGGTTTCTGGAAGCTTTGAGGCCAGAGTGTAGATCTATGGATTTATATGAACGCGCGGTAAGTACAATCCCTATTTGCGTACCATGTATTGCTATCCTTATGAACTTCAAGTCGCTCACTGTCCCAGTTTTTCTTTTTGCTAGGGAAAAATGTATGAAGTTAAACTTCGAAGACGCATGCCCATGAAGCTAATGTTCTATATTCCTAAGAGCCCACCCATAACTATTTATCCTCCGTCTAATTATCCCCTAATGAAAGATGGAATGAGCTTGAACTTGTGTGGGTATCGGGACACTGTGGTATTGAAGACCGAAGAACGATCTGGCTGATGGATTGGTGAACTGCGGTTCTTTAAAGCGTCCAATTGCACCGAAGCCAATTTTTGCGCCAAGCATAGTGGAAACAGTCGGGTAGGTTAGGTTAGGTTTTTGATGTTGCCACGTGGAGTTCGAGTTTCGGCGTTATAGTAGACATCACAAAGTCAGTCTCATCTGCTATTTAATTACCCTCTATTCCTTTGTGGCCGGGTACCCAATAGATATGCAGACTATCCTCCCGGCTGCGAAGGACGTTTTAAGCTCCGAGTCCTAAGAGGACTGATTAAGACGCATAATCCATGACCTGTGATAACCATAGCATCATCGACGATCCACTGTGTACATCTTGTTTGAAAGATGAGGGTAGCACAAAAGAGTTTACCTCACGCTGTCGGGCCTTCGCTAGACTTAGATGATACATTTTTGGGTCGGATATATTGAGAATCGGCCCGGTTTTTTTTTTGTTTCCCTCGATAAACTGCTAAGATTCATAAAGGAGTCTGTCAAGTTTGTATAGGAGCAATGAATTCCCATCCCACCTGTTTTCCTCTATCCTTTAAATCCTCTATCTAGGCCTTAAGTACCGTATTTTTGGCTTTTCCCGCCATCCACAAATGCATTCCATTCGCCTGATATGATTCTGAATATAAACAGTAGAGCAGTTCTTACGATTACAAAGTGCCAAAAAAGTAAGTCCAGAAGCACCGCGGTGGCCTTTGGACGCAGTGTAAATTCATACATACCTTAACAAGGATGGGATGGGGTTCCGATTAGTACTGCTTATCCGAAATTCACCAGAACGAGGTACTTTCCTTCTAGCTGTCAGTGGAGAAGTTGTTTACCGAACCTTTCCGAAGAGTTCCAGAACTTTTCCACTAATATTTTAAAGCCTAAAAAAACTTTATATTTCTTTCAAAAGATTCCGTAGAAACGAGTGTGCCCTCTTAAGCCAGGAAAGGCTGACACTTTTCGAACACCTGTTTTAATAACTTCTTATGCCCAAAAATCTGAGAATCATGCCGCAGTCCACAGACAGTTGCACTGTACATCGTATTCATGGGCTCGGCTTGAATTTTTGAACCCAAAAGTGTTATCTCTTATTGTGCTTATTACCATGACTGATTTCAGTTCACAGACTTTACTTTCAGCTCTATATCCACCAGTCACACCAGTCTCTTATCCACTATTACTTCCAGATATTCTAGATACCCGTAAAGACTGTGTTTAATGGCACGATTGAAGAATAGACAAGGCGATCCAATCATTTAAAAGTTCAACTTTTCTTGCATTTTGCATATTCCAGGAAATTCCATGCATTGACTTTGGACAAAAGACGGACTATACAAAGGCTTAGACGATCTTTGTGCTCAAACCCTACACGGAGTTCAGGTGTGCAACTATAAGTTCCAAAGCTTTCGCCCCACGGCCGGCAATGGCGAATTTCCGAGTGTACTCCTGCATATAAAAGAAAGAAGTATACCGAAATCCATACTGAGGGCAGCTTATTGTAGCAGAGAAGAAGAGGGTAAAATGGAAAGATGAAATTTCTGCATAAATATCCGCAGTCTAGCAATAATAATTCTGCGATAACAACATTTTTAGTTGGAATATGGATATTTTAAAATGTTTATTCAGTCTTTTTACTTCCAAATTTGTTTATGGAATAAGTAATGTTTATTAAAGCTATGGTACTTAAATCGTTCTAATAGCAGACTTCCCAAATATTACTAAGCTTATTAAGATTCCATTTTTTTTTTGTATATTCTGTATAATTTTTTTTTAATTATAACACCATTAAACTTGCAAACACAGTCCAAAGCCATGTATGTTTTGAAGTTTTTAAAGAACTAATCGCAATACTTTTGTCACTTTTGTCATTACTTGGAGTATTAACATTCTGAATCCATTGACTGTAGTAGGAGACGTTTGTATATACACCTGGATAGCCGGCATATCCACAACCAATGCCCCACGAAACAATGCCCGCCAGCTGACCCGAACATTCCAGCGGACCACCAGCATTGCCTTCACAAGCATCTACGCCACCCTGCGCATAGCCAGCGCAAAGCATTCCTTCAGGTATAAAACCATAATTTTTCGAACATTCCGCATAGCTGATAGTGGGTATGGGAGCACTCAGCAAAACATCGGACATATCTCTTTGTTGCTGTGAATGTGAAGAAAAAAACACTTTACTCAAGCCATAGATAGTATGTAGGTACATATAAGTATATAACATTGAATGAGCAATACTTGCCCGCGACAACTTTCCCCAACCACCAATGCGGCACGTTGTATTGGGCTGGACTGCAGTGGTTTGCAGGGAAATCGGTCGCACAGTAGGCCATTCCCAGGGTATGTAACCCTTGATGTGCAACAACGCTATATCATTCTCAAGCGACGTCGAATTGAATGCGGGAAATGGCAACACTGCCTCCACATCATACTGCAAGACATACGCGTTTTTCTCCTGCAGAAAGCTCGAGCCCATCACCAATGTAAACTCATCGGGATTGCGGTATGTAAGCGGCAATACAGCGGTGCTAGAAGAAAAGGAAAGATAACAATAATTAAATTAGTAAAATTAGTAGTAGTCCATGGACTTACTTACTTTAGCGTGCACTGCGCGGCTGTGACTACAAGCGCCTCTGATATGACAGCTCCACCACAGATGTGCCCATAGCCATAACCTCCCAGTTGTTCGTAGACCTTTAGACGCACCGATACTTGATAGGATGCCTTGTTAATATTAGTTGGACGGACGACGCCAGTTGTAGGTTTTCCAAACGCGACTATAAAAGAGCATAGTTAAAGGTAAAACTCTACACTGAACTTTACAGTATAAAATTGAAAAGCGCGAGCTTTCACAAATCAAAAATCACACTCTATAAATCTCGCATAATTCACATCCTATTATCTGGGGTATTAGGGCTTTAGAGGGGGACATTTTCCGCAATATCTATGATCCTGTTTGCGTGGCCGACGGGTATCGAATAGTACTACTTTGGTACCTGTACAAATACTGCAAAATAATGGGTCCATTATATGGCCAAATCCGAACTGTTATACAACACGGTAAATTTTTTGGAAGAAGAAAACGAATATAATCAAATTCTCATTAAAATCTTATAGGCCGATATACGCAATTATTGTTGGCCGATAAGAATTGCTTACGAAAAAGTAAATTCAAAAAAAATTTTTGAGTTTAACCGCGTGGAAGCTGAAATTTCAGCTTTAGCTATACCCTGCAGGGAGTGATATTAATTTAAATCTAACATTAATCGAATTACGGGAACACTATTGCTGACTATTTACTGTATATTGTGTCCGAAAAAAATTCAGAACTGCATATCCCCGCATTAGGTGTCAACTAACTTGTAACTAACTACTTTTGAACATCAATATTCTCAATAAGAAAAAAATTACGAAATAGTTTTTAATTTTTTACTTTACAACTCACATTAAGTTGGTTTTTTTCATAGTTAATTAATACGCAGACTTCATTTACCGGAAGAATTAAGAAAGAAAAGCAAGTGAAAATCAACTGAAGATAAATTATTAATCGCCCAAGGAAAAAAAGTATACAGGTTGAATTCCCAAATTTATAGGTAAGGATTTTATAAAAAAAAATATTTTAAACAAACAAATTACTAAGCGATTTTTAAAAAATTGATATCGTTGTTAACGCAATCAAATCTTCTTTCTTCTGATATGTATACTTCGTGTATAAAAATTTGAGAAAAAACACTTAAAAGGAAAAAATACCTTTTTCTATAAAAAAAAATAATAAATTAACAAACTAAGTACTAACCGATTTTTAAGAATTTGGTATCGTTGTAAAGGCGACTGAACCCCCTTTCTTCCGGTGGGCATATTTGTATACTTAGTGTATAAAAATTTGAGAAAAAACACTTGACAGCAAAAAATATCTTTTGTTTTATAAAGAAAAATATTTTAAACAAAAAAATTGGTATCGTTGTAAAGGCTACCAGAAAACTTATACTTTCTTAAACCCAAAAATTTCGTTTTATATACACAAAAAAAAAATATATTTAAAAACATTTTTTTCCTCTATATAAACTCTTGCCCCCTAGCTGAAAGGCTGGCTACGCCCTTGTTTGGCCACCAGTTTTGTGAATATATTAATTTTTTCGTGTGTAAAATTGACTGTCGCACGGTGATATACTTCTATAAATTTTTCTGTGTAGATTAATTGTTCTTTCTCTTCTCGAAGTTTGATTCCTCTTCAAAAAGATCATGACATGGTTATTTTCCACCCTATATAAGCAGACGTAAACTGCTTGGGTTGCGGTCCCTGCAAGATAAAAGGGACTACTTCTCAATTATGTTTGTACACAATGTTTTGAATGCCAATATTAACTGTGCCGAACTTGCCAATTTAATCAATTTATATACTCCTCCACGTACTCTGAGGTAAAATACAATGCATACAACCAACTACGCTACTAATGAACCGATTGCTAGGTATATAAGGTTGTGTATCATTTACTCCAGCGTAATCAATTTTAATTTAAGTATTGATGATTTAAAATGTATCTCTTCACATTCTTTAATTAAGAGATAGATTATTAAATAGTCTGTAAGAACCTACTTCTGTAGACTGAATGAATAAATAAATAAATAAATTTCTGACTCTAATAGTTAATAAAAGAGGAAGTACTCTATTCAACGCTCTTGACGTAGACTTTTAGACTTGAAAATTACCGATTTGAGTCTTTTGTATGATCTTTCAAAATGGAAATACGCAAAAAAAAATCTATAAAACAGCGTCAATTATCCTATCTTTCAAGTTGGAACCAACAAGGCAGATCCGCAAAATGTTATTTAAATCGGTTACACGTGATTTTTATAAATTAAGATAATTCTGGAACATACATACAGCTGTCCTCGAAATAATAGGAGTGCGATATTTTGACCCGTTTTTATATAAAAGTCTAGCTGGCCGTATAACAAACCCCATATTAATTCAGTTTTCAAACATTGTACAAAAATTATAAAAATTTCTCCAGTTTTCACCTAAATTTCAAACTTTTTAATCCGAATCCTTTGGAAACAATTTTGGTATGCAGTTTGCAGTTGTAGCTCATTTAATTATAGTATAATAAAGTGCAAGTTTCAAGTTGCTAAAAAATGCCGTTTTTGACAATTTTTTGGTTGAAGGTGTTTCACGTTTTTTCCATACAAAGTATGTTCGACAATTTTCTTTTATAATATGGAGGACATTGCCACCAAAAAGAAACTAAAATTAAATGCGCTACAAAACGACATACCACACTTTTTTCTAAACATTCTGATTAAAAAGTTTGAAATTTGGATAAAAATTTGCGAAATTTTTATAATTCTTGTACAAAGTTTGAAATCTGAATTTATATGGTGTTTGTTATATACCAAAAAAAAAATAAAATAAATAAATAAAAATTAGGGCCAAATTCACAGTGCGTAGTTAACTGCCGATTCTGAGTTAACTACGCGCTGTGAACTTGGTCTTAAATTAACAAAAGACAAATAGCCAAAACTGGTCAAAATATCGCACTCCTAGTATTTTGTGGACAACTGTACATACTCATAACTGTCTAAATATGTATTTACATAAAAGGTACTTGACTAATTAATCATTTCTCCGCTTGATAACGGCTTCAATTAAAATACAATTTGCAAAATTATCTGTTGTGCGCATTTTTTAACCTTGGGCTGCGATTATTCATTTTACACGTTATTTAAGGCGGTGGTCTGTAGGTAAAAAACTTTCGCCAATTCCAGAGATGCACAGTTTGTTTATGGGCAGTTTCGCGCCCCCCACTACATATTAATTTATCAATCACTGCATTAGAGGAGAAAATGAGCTTTTAATTGGAGTAACTTTCACTCACACACACATTAAATAAACGGTAAATGACAAGGTATATGTAAATTTCAAATTTAGCTTCAATAAATTTAATATTTTGCCGCACAGTTTATTCACGTCATGCGGACAGGAAAAATATTGATTCTTTGGAATTCGCTCATATTGTGGATAATTGTACTTGTACTAGGCATGAAAGTGTGCACACAATTATTTTTTATGATGGCTTTTTGTCGCTTTAGGGCCTCTTAAGAATAGTGAAAATGAAAACTGAGTTTTTTAGAGGGATTTTCCGTAGTGAAAAAATATTTCAAAAAAGTATTAAACTTCGTGATTTGTATAGAAAAGTTCCCACGTTTTAAAGAAAAGTAATCAATTAAAATTTGTAGGGCTTTGACATTTTTTTTAACACATCAATTAAACAATAAACAAAAAGTATAATAATACCCAAATGTTTATTCAACCATTTTTTAATAGTAATTATGTATATTTAAAGGTCCCCCAAAACCCCAAAAAATTTAATGGGGACCCATAAAAAACTTTGAGCTCTTTGAGCGACCTCCAAATATTTTTTGATTTCGTATTAAAAAAACACGGAGGTACATATGTTTTTTTTTTCTCGATATAGAATAATCCTAGGAGGTGAGAGCATTAAATTCGGACTTTAGTTTTTTCCAAAACAGCAGCAATTCTCATCATATAATAAATACATATATAAATAAATATGCTTGTTAGTTTGTATATTATATTCAGAGGTGTTTTTTTTTTTTATATGAATTAAAATTGATTGTTTAATGTCGCAAAAAATTGTGAGCAACCTTAAAAAGTACATGGTTATTTAATAAATATTTCATTTTATCAAAATTGTTTTCATCTTTTTATTTCCAAACCGAAACCGAAAATTAACGAAACCAGAACAGAAACCGAAACACTTTGCAAAACCGAAACCGAAACCGGAGCGTTATTTTGAATGGGTTTCATTCCTTGATTATAATTATACCCACACAATTGTGCACTTGCGCTGTGTGTACACTAATATAATATGAACGATATCCATAACATCACTTTTTTCCTGTCCGCTTGACGTGAAATGTCCCACACATGTTAAGGTATATGTTTTTTAAATTACTTTTTTACTTCCATTTCACAACCAATTTATTTCCACATTTGTAAATTGAGTTCATGATGCTTATTCAGTGCATTTGTTTAGTGAAACGAGCTCAACTTGCTATACTTTTACAAAAGCATGTATACACATACATATATATGTACATACACAAGCAACAAATTTGTTTTTGCAATTGCGCACTTTTAGTATATATACATGGGTACACCATGTCGTATGATCAACATCAGCTCCTCCCATTTACAACTTAGGTAACATACATACATACATACATAAATACGTTGTATTAATAATATTAATGTATGCAAATCACTCACTTGTCGCACCAAATACAAAACCAAGCAACAAAAGTAACAAAGCATTAAATAAAATATAATAAAAAGATGTCATAATTCACATTAATCACTTGCTAGTAAAATTGCTAACACCTCTAAACTCCCATTGGGACATGCTAAACACCTTGACAGTACTGAGACGATTGAATTACTTATATCAAAATCAGCTTACACTATTGTCAAAAAAAAAAAAACTTATTGATAATTTCGGTGTAGACAAGCAGATAGATAGAAAAAAGCAAACAAAAAATGATGATAGCTATGTAAGTGTCCGAATAATGTTCAATGCTTGTCAATTTAGCAAATACATAATTAACATTTCTAAATCGATACAGTGGAACCTCGATGAAATTATCAAAATTTTATAACACAATTTTTCATATACACATATTTTTTTTTAATCATAAACTTTTTAGCTTACTTATTTGGTTATTAACTAAAGTTTTGGTCACAATACTGCCGTCTTTATTAAGCGCCGTCTCAACGCTTTTGAATGACGACACAGTTGGCGCGTTTGATAAAAAAAAGAACCCGAACTAATTAAGAGGCACGAATAACGGCATTAATGCAACTTATAAACAAACAAATTACCCTGGAGCAGACGATTTACCGGCTGGGCTGCTTGAATACATGCCCGAAGATTGGAATCTCAGTGTACTGCGTTAAATTCACACAAAATGGGAGACGCCGCGATTTGCGCCAAGTATCGCGTATAGGCCTTCTTAGCATTGCGTGTAAGGTATTATCGACTACACTATATGAAAGACTGATGTCCTTCATGAACCAACTGTTCGGACCTTATCAGTATGGCTTCAGACCTGGAAAATCCACCATCGACCAGATCATCATATTATTGTCGATTTTAAAGAGCCGCTTTTGATAGAGAAACTACGTGCACGACGCCATGTCTAAAATTCATATCCTGCAAGAACTAATAATTGGGAAGGACCACTCTGCGCCGTTTGTGGTCAAACGAGGTTTTAGACAACGCGATTCGCTCACGTAAAACTTTGTTTCAATCTGTTGCTGGAAAGCCTACAGCTGCTAATTAAAATCGGAGCCGAAGCATATGCAGCAAAAGCACGGTGCCTCTAGCGTATCCAGTTGGTATTGCTATCGTTGGCTTGAGAACCATAGACATCAGCGCTGCATTTTCCAGTTAAGAAAAAGAAGCGAAAGAGGTTGGTCTTGCAGTGAAAGAGGACAAGACAAAGCAATTCCTGGCAACACATAAAACATCCTCGCGTTTTGGAAATCACGTGACTGATGGCTGTTAAAATTTTGATACTAAAAATACAACGATTGCCCTGGCTTGGACATGTTTTACGCTTGTGTGATGAGACTCCAGTTAAAAGATGCTGCGACTAGGCACACAGACGCTGTGTATCAGGCCTTACACCTGCCTCCTCTTGACTGTCATTGCTCGAGAGATAAAAGTCATTGCAGAAGTCGGCTTAAAAAACTAACTCATACATCGATAGAACTTCAGGGCATTTTACTATCTTACGCACGTTGACGATAATTACGATACTCACCAATACCCTTAATCACGTTCGATAAGAAATCCAATGTAGTTACACCAACGCGTCAGACGTTTTCTCAACAGAGTGGAAACTAAATATATATTTTGCGATCGCTGCTCACAGCAGTGTAGATCCAGGTGAAGTGTTGGCCATCAAGTATTTATCTTTTCTTACAGTCAGACAGCCCTGAAAGCCTTAGGTCCGGATATAGCCAATGCAATGTTCCGCACTGGATGTCAAGCCTTATAGAATTCAACTTATACGGGTGGCCTCATTATGAGGATATTCAGTATAATTGAAAATTTGACGAATTGGGAAGGAAAACTACGACCACCCGCTTCTTTCTGGGTGGGTATTGAAATCTCTGCTGGTGAAAGCGACAGCTTTATCTAGCCTTCTCATAATAGGAAATGACACATCAGTGCTCTTAATTTTAAACAGCAGCAACTACCTTAATGGCTTTCACGCCATAAGACTATGGACGGACGCACGAGACCCTTTGCTTAGCTGTAAACTTGGCAAATCATTTTTATTATTTTTTAAACTCATAACAACAGATGGAACTGGTAACTCCATCTGGCATCAGAATAGGCCTATCTTGCTCTACATATGTGTGGGGAGAGAGCCGTTTTAAACCAATACTTTTAAAACATGGCAATGAAATTTTCGTAAAACGTAACTTATTTACCACGAGGTTTCACTGTATTTTTGGAGGTTTCAAACCGAAAAAAAAACAACAATATGCAAACAGCGCACACTCTTTTACCAATGGAAGCTAACTGGTTCGGGAATTAAAGTAGCACAATAAAAATGAAATAAAAAAGTTATACTTCCAAAGTTTATTCGCAGCGCGCGTATTATCTTATCATGTTCAACATGATATTTCATGACTTGATTTGTTTTTTTTTTTACTACTGAAATCTGAAAACACATTTATTCATTATTTACATACTAAGTGTACTTAAAACAAATATTTTTTTAAGGCAAATTGGATTCCAATCTAGTACCATTCTTCTATGATGTTAGCTCTCCAGTGAGCAGCGATGCCCAAGCCATAACCCATAAGCGCTCATTACAATATTATTATTTTGCAGCAGTAGGTTTTGATTTTTCGATTTTTGTCAGCTGGGTTTGGAGATAAACCGTTTTCGGGGTTGTAACATCTTCAGTGTCTGCAAAACGAATCAAAATACATCATACAGCCCTTGGATATTTGTAACATTACAATTTTTTTTTGAGCTTTTTACTCAATCATTTTTACAACAATCATTAGTGGAATTCGCGCTTCTGTGTATTCGTAGTATATTGCGACGAGCCTATGATTGTTGTTGCATGTGTATTTATTGTACCGCCAGCAACAACAAATCACAAGCTCACTCAGATATAATTAAACAAGATACAACGAATTCCATTGAAGCGCGAATTCCACTATTTTTATAGCAGCAAATGCCGCATATGTATTTTAAGCAAACTCTTCAGTTATCGTTTTCTCCATTCATCTCGCGGTTTTCTCCAGTCCGAAAATACCACTCTATGCAAATCGTGTCTGGGGAACAGAGCCAGTGGGAGGTGGCATTCTAGCATGTCCTGGATGATAAGACCTTGCCTTTGCCAACGAGAGTTCGTTTGGCTTCCTGTTCAACTGTGAGATGTAAGAATTATCTTCAACGCAGCCGTTAGATATTTGCACATAGTCCTTGTGACGCCTTACCATTGCTACAGTAGTCCAATTTTGTGACGACATTGGCCTGGACTCAATCCAAAGCTAAGTTCCTTACTCGATAAATAAACTCAGATTTTCTAGCCGTTTTACATAAACTTTTTATGTACCTCAAGGCCTTCGAATTCGGTACGTCCAGTGACCTTTTACAGATCGGTATTTTTTTTATGTTTTGAGCTTTTCTTTGCTTCGAGTGAAGTTTACTCGATCGACATTACATAACCTTTCCTACCCTAAGTTCACCTTATCTAATTTAACCAAATTTGATGTACATATATATATTAGGCTGCATCACTCTTCAACACACAAAAAATTAGTACTATTTTTCCAACGGAATTATAAAATTTATTATATTTTAGGACTTCTCCAAAAGAATAAATTAAGCTTAAAAGGTCAGCATAAAAGTGTTTAAAAACTATAACAATGGAATCAAAAAACAAATAGGGATTTCCGAAATATTTTAGATGCCTTGAAATATAATAACTCTAGAAAATAATTTATGAAACATCACATACGCGGTTTTGCATTTTGTTGATACTTGGTTTTGTACTTTAAATGACGAAATAAACCATCTCAGTTGAAAAGTTAACTTTTTCTAATAAAGGAAATTAAAAAAAAAAAAATATTGAAGAGTGATTCATAGAATTTTTAGACCAAAATTGGCCGATGATCGACGCTTTATGAAGTTGGTTAAGGGAAATCCTAAGAATTTACCGAAAGTACATATAAAGATATTAAATAAATAAATAGTTTTAATTTTGAACACTAAAAAATTTTTGTTTTAATTAATGTAAATAATAATACTTTCATAGTTATTACTTTTAACAGCTTTCGTTTCACTAAATAAACATTCAACAAAATACCGATAAATATTTTCCTGCTCTTCGCTCCACATATTTACATACTATATAAATACGTACTATGTATATTTTCTATTGCCTCCAATGAATTTTGATTTTAATTTCTACCGCTTACGACCACAGCAAACTGATTAAAACACAGAAAATACCCCATAGCAGTTGTTGGGGTGCCAAATTCAAACCCATTGCGCCACCATAACGAGTGTAATTGAAGGTTGAATTTGTCGACACTATCCAGTTGTAGTAATGGGAGACATTCGCATAGACGCCGGGGTAGCCACGCTCAGCACAACCATTGCCCCAAGAAACAATGCCGCCCAAGGTGCCATTGCAAGCCAATGGACCACCAGAATCGCCCTGGCAGGCATCTATGCCTCCCGTTTCCGGGTAGCCAGCACAAATCATACCCTCATCAATGGAACCTTTATAGCTGGCATTACAATGCGACGAGGCAACGATCGGCACCACTGCACCCAGTAGCTCCGCCCAGACTATACCCTGCGGAGGAGTTAAAAATTACTCTCACTAACTACTGATTTACAATTACTTACACTTTCAGTTATTCCCCAGCCAGTTACGGTGCAATTAACGCCCGTTGACAAAGCTAATTGATTGAGGGGTATAGGTTTTACAGTTGCATGATTTTCGGGTATGGAACCATCTATGAAAAATAATGCCACATCATTCTGAAGTGTAGATTTACTGAAATCAAGATTTGGCGCTACCTCCAATACATCGTATTGCAATGTATATGCAGTGACCTCATACAAGTAAACAGAACCCATGACTATAGTGAATTCGCTAGCGGAGCGATATGTCGTGGGTGTTATGTTGGAGCTGCAGAAAGGAGCAGGATTTTAACATATTTACATAATACATACATATATATATATATATATGTTTAGATATGCATAGATTTTATAAAGAAAACATCTATACTTACTTGACGGTACAATGCGCCGCTGAAATAATAACGCGCGATGTTAAAACCGATCCTCCACATAAGTGTCCACGACCAAAACCAGCTATTTCGTATGACTTAAGGCGTATCGAAACTTGCCATGGCACTTTTGTTATAGCAACAGGCGAACCACCAATAATTTTTGAATCAATTTCAGTGAGTAAATATGGAGTAGCCAAGCTCTTGTGATTGCTTTCATTGCTGGGTTGGACTGCCAAGATAAAAAATATTAAAATAAAAAAAGCAAACATATATATATTTTTTTAATTGCTCTCTTTTATGATTGCGCTCTTCTTCAACAAAACGTAACGTTTCTTTTTCACTACAACAAATATGCTACTTTCTTTTAGTTAACGCCCATATCTATATTTGTATGTAAAATATTTAAAATGGGTAGCATTTTCCTATCACTTACACGAATGGACTGAAGAGACGCTTTGTAAAAGGCTCCAAGCGCAAAAAAGTGTAAATTTCCACCACATTTTCAATTACACAATTGCCTGCGTGAATAAAAAAAGATTAGTCATCCCACCCAACAAATTATATTACGTGCAAAAAAGTGTGTATATCCACTTTAAAGTTTCAAATGAGGCAAACGCACCTACTAAACGACTGCTATTTAGCAAATGATTAGTTCCTTGCAGCGGTGTGCCTATGAAGTAACAAGTGTATACGCATATGCGCATGATGCATACCTTTATATAAATATAAGAATATGTACATACATAAACAATATATAGTTCGATAAACAAAATGTACACATTATCATTCATGATATCATTATTGATATACGAATAAAAAATAAATCGTTTGACAATAGAAAATGTAAAACTCAATAATAGGCGCAACATTAGCGTTATCAGTTTTGGTCGCGATTACAGTATATGTATGTATACGCAAATCAGAACAAATAAGAATATAAATTCGATTTTTTTTGTGGAAAGTTTAATTTTAGCAAAAATTGAATTTTGTACATTTTAAATACGAAATATCTTGTAATTTATTTGTAAATGCTAGTTAACAACGTTGTTATACAATATCACTACAAATATACAAAATTCACGTTAATTTACATACACAAAATTATAAAAAGGACATATACAAAAGCTACTATTAGGTTTGTTCGTCAAGCAAAAAATTTGTACGAATTTGTACGAATTATCACGATTTTTGCCCAAATCGCGTTCGTGCAGACCAAAAAATTATCCAACACTCAAAAATTGTGAGAGCAAAGTGACAGTTCTCTTGGAGAGAAGTTGCAAATTCTTGCTGGAAAAAATTTTGCCAGCAAGAATTTGCAAACACGAAAAAATGTGGTTGTGGCGCATGGTTGCATTTTTGTCTACAATAATTTGAATAAATTAGTTCGTTAAATTTAAAAATTTATAAACACGAGCGATTTTTTTATGAAAAAAGGAAGTAAATAATTGTTGATATAATTAATTTAGTTAATTCCAATGATTTGAACTTAATTCGGCTGAAAAAAATGGTATTCGCAATCGGAATGCAATTGCAACCAGAGTCGATTTAAGAAACCCGACAGCTAGTACGATGAAGAAATTGAAATGTATGTCAAAGAAAGTCAGAACAACAAGAAATATACATGTATATCCTGTTTTTGGCCATCCGAAAGAATTTTAAAAATTCTATAAAAATTTTTTATGTTTGAAATGCAACCGTGGACGCCAGCTGGCAGCGAAACTTGCAAATTCCTGCAAATTTGCGTTCGTGCAGAAATTTGCAAGTTTCTCAACATGAGAGAGAATTTGAGAGAATTTTTTCTTACTCTCTGATATTTTGAGTGTTGGATAATTCTTGCTGGATTTTCGACGAACAAACCTATTTTTTATTGCTAAGAACGTAGCACCGCTATCATTCAATGCCCGCACTGCTGAATTGCGCTTTCAACTCCCTATCAAAGGCATCTAGTTGACTAAGCACGCTGTCCACATAAGCGCTTACATCATTCTTAGGTTGCTGCACTTTATCCATGGACTGAGACTTAAATATTTTCCGTGTATTGGAAGAATATAATTTACTTTTTACATTTTGATTGGTAGCATTGCCTATTACACCATTAACACCATTGATTTTTACTGACTCAACACTTTCGTCCACCGTATAAACTACACTTTGAATTGGGTTTTCAATGATCATCAAATCACTGGGACTGTTGTCGTGAATTTCGCATTCGCGACGTCTTTGTCGGGTGTCTGGCCTTCCCTCGACGCGAGGTGACAATTTTTTTGTTTTACTGAAAAAAAAACATACCCGAGTTATTTTTACAATGTAATCGCTAATATTACAACCATTCATTTATAAGACCTTGCTACCTCCTTTGCAGGCTCGCTTGCAGCTTTGATAATCTGGCTTTTATCTGCTTTTGCCACATTGCTGTTGGAACTCTTGATGGGCGTGTTTATTCCCTTTTTACCACTTGCCGTTGCTGTCTCATTTTCATTAAATTTTGTATTTTTTATAGCCTTCCCACTGCTAGTTGGCTTTTCCGGCTCTTCAATTACCTCCTTGGTCTCATCCATCGATTGGCTTTGACTTTCGTATTCTAATTTTTGTCTGCGTGAGTGAAGTGTACGGGTCATTTGCGCTTTTATCTCTTGCTTTGCTCTACGCTTTCTTTATAATGAAAAAAACTTTGAATTCTTAATATACATATACGAACATATATGCCTTTAATGACCAAAAACTGGTAACTTGCCTATTTCGTGGGCTTTCGAGTATTTTGTTAAAGTTACTGGGCAATCTTCTTTCCGTTTCCTCTTTTTTAACTATGTTTGTAGGGCTAGATGTGTTGCTTTGGGAGATTTCTGCGGCCTGCGTTGAATCGGTTTGGCCATGCTCAACCCGCCAACGTGCTATAAGCTTTTGCAATATCTTTACTTTCACATCAGTTGCAGCGTAACGTTCACGAAACTTGTTAACATCAAACGGGTTTGTGGCAACAGTTGCTGTAAATATTAATAAATTATACCAAATCAGGAATACTTGCATTAGATAAATCCTACATCGCCGCAGACTTCCATACTCTGTTCGATACTGAATTATTTCATCTTCTTTGCGCCGTAAAACTTCCAATAGCTCTTCGATTTGCACTGGCAAGCGGTCTACTAAACTGGTAACCTCGTTTACTGGCAGTGGGATAGTAAGTGACTTATCTTCTCGCTTTAAAAGCCATTCAAACTTGAATGGGCAACCTTTGACACGATATTTCAGTGTCAATATACGCTCGCTGGCACTAGACGCGTCAACTCCATGATCTTTCACCATCCAATTAGCTGATTCTGGTTGCGTATTTTGCAAAGTATCGTAGGCTGTAGCCACATCGTACTTGATGCGTTTGTTCAGCAACTATAAGATACATTTATATACATAGATATGTAAGTATTAAGTATTGGTGTGAAATAATGCATTGAGTATGTATGACACCTGCAAAGTCTGAGCCACCTCCTCCTGAGTTTTCACTGCCGTCCAGTTTTCATTGGAATCATATAACAAGTATTCTATTACATCTCCCTGCACTGCACACTCAAAGAAGTACGTTTTATCTTCAACATTCAATTCCTTTAGCATTATAATAATAAATGTAACAAATAAACTTTATTAATGTACAAATTTAATAAATAATTGTGACATGCAAACACCAATTGTTATTCACTTTGACAACTTAGCGTTGTCCAAATGTTTATCGATAACACAGCACCGATTTCTAGCGGATGCAGCGAAGGATAACCTGACACAGGGTGCTACGGGAAGTTAATTAATAGTCACCGGAAGCGGTATTTAGAAAGGTTAAAGCATATAGAAGAGAACAAATTTGCTATTTTAAGTTGGACACCAATAATTTGGAGTGGAAATCAGGGCTTATTTTATTTATCAAAATAGCAACTAATTATTAACAAGAAATCAGCTTGTTCGCTCAACGAGCCAGCAAAGTCGAAAAGGCTTATCGATAACAATAAGAAATTTTTTGGCGGATACAGCGAGCGGAAAACCAAAGTTGCAAACAATTATTTAATAGCCGCCGGAAGCGGGCCTACCGCAAATGAAAGTGCAAATAATTAAATTTTTTTTAAATAAATAAGTGATAAGTTATGTTACTAGTGGCGTCTAATGTTGCTGTGTTTGAATGTGTGTTATTTACAACGTGAAATGTGAAACTTACCATGTGCTTGCCGCCAAAAGTTTCAACAGACGCCGCCATGCGTGGGCTTCCGCTGGCTAAGCGATAGTAAGCGGTAGGGCACTCGAAATAGCATATGAATTAGTGATTCAAGTGTGTTGAAATTATTGAAAAGTTTACTTCTCCTCAAATGTGTGTTATACAAGTAACAACAAATAAAACATATCGAATCTTTTAGGTAAGTCACATGTATGCATTATATTGGAGTTCTGAAATGTAGTGAATTATGTGTGAGAGAATTATTTCACAGCTGATGTGTTTGTTGTGAAACATTTATTCAACTATTTTACTCGAAATAACTTGCTTTAACAACACAGTGATTTATTGGCGCAGTATTTGCGTGAGTTTTAAGCATAGGCTTTCCTTTGTTTACAAAGTAATCTTTCGATCAGACGTAGTGATAGTAGTGGGGATTTCTAATTTAAAATAGTTAGTCCTTTAAATGTGCTTTATATCATATTTCCAAGAATTCCAAACTGAAGTCTAAAACAGAACTCTTTTCCATGTCGTTTTGCATTATATTTCAGTATAAGACATTTCATATACGCATCTGTAATGCAACAACATATAATCACCTATCCTGCCCAGTTACGACATATCTAAATTAATTACAATTGTCTGTAAGATAGAAATTAAATACATATTTTTATTTATTTAATTTTAGCATACTAACACACACTTAGCTGTCTATTTTTGTAGTATAATAAAATTTATTTTTTATATTAATCGACTATTTACAGCAAGAAAGTAATCAAAAATAAGGTTTTCATTTGATTTTGTCTAAAAGTACATACATATGTTCATACTTTTTTAGGAAATAATTTGACTACCAAAAACAAAAAAAAACATTGCAAGCAAGTGTATATTCACTACATTCATATGTATAGTATACGGCCAAATTTAACAAATACTTAACGAATTTTATTTGCTATTTAAATACTTTATTTCATTACATTTTCATTTCACACCTAGTTATGCTTTATTTTAACCAAATCTTCAATATTATTTAGCTAGAAATTATGATTTACGTATTACATCTAAATAAATCAATAACTACTTCAGTACCTGCACGCGTGCTATGAATTGGAAACAACTATAACTAGCCTCACACTAAACTTACACACTGCTAATTGTCTTTTTAATGTCTTTTACCATTTTGCTTTTTTGCTTAATATTACATTTGTTTTCTTAAGATAAACATATTTTCTATACGAATGTAGGTATGTATGTATGTAAATACTTGTGAATCTTATACTTTTTAGAGTAATACAAAAATTATTGATAGTTAGAAAAAAGTACTAGTAACACTTGTAAGTCCTATCGCGATACTGCAAATATGACTTGCTTATAATAATAAACAGCAAAATTATTTACAGGTTGTGATCTTTTGTTGTGCTTTTTTTCATATCTGTGGCCGCGTCCACAATTCGCTTAGATCCTTTGGACGTATTTTTCCGATTTCTATGGTGAAGAAAAGCAAATAATTTATGGAAAAGTTACTAGTTTCTACACACTGCATCTACAACGTCAGACCTACCCAACTGACCAGGCATTAGACCACTATCGCGCTTAGGCGAGGGCCAAACCATGTCAAAACGCGGCTGCACGGCGGCTAATTGGTTTGTTTGTGATGGCCGAAAAGTGGTACTACTGCAATAAAGTTGAGTTAAGTTTAGTTAAGTTAAGTAAGAGTTTAAATATACGATTTCGATCTGAATAATTGAATGCATTTAATAATTTTATGAGGTTCATCATATGTTGAAGACTCTTTGAATGATAAAAACTATGTAAATCGCAGGTATGTATGTATGTACATTACGGTGGTCCAAAAATGCATTTGAAAAAGTAAAATCCGAATTCTAATGCCGCCACCCCATAGGATTGTTCTATACCGAAAAAAAATAACCATATTTTTTATTTAGAAATCTGTGTTCGTATGGAAAAGTAGCTTATGTCGAAAGGCTGGCTTTAGTATAATGCGGCATTCCCTTTATTCTTTAAACGACAAGGAATTTTTTTATGAGACTTAATAAGAATATTGACTTGCTAGTATCGGAACTATTTCTTGCACGTTTATTCGCCAAAAGTTGTTCAACGGCTTAGCGCCAGTGAGTCGTTCGCCATCGTATGCTGCGAATGCCGATTTATACTAAAGCCAGCCTTTCGACATAAGCTACTTTTCCATACGAACACAGAAATAATAAAAAATTTAGGGAGTGCTCAAAAATGTTATACCATGTCTACGAAAAGCTGTATTCCCCCATATAAAATACATGGAAAACTTTGAGAGCTTTGAGCACTCCCTTAATATTTTTTGGTTTGATTTGATAAAAAATAGGGGTGTATTTTTTCGGTATAGAACAATCCTAGGGGGTGGCGGCATTAAAATTCCGACTTTAATCTTTTTGGACCACTCTAATGTATGTGCATACATACATATGTATGTATGTTTATGTAAACTAACGCTATGCTTTTAACTTTAAAAGTTAATCTTCTGCATTCAGAGAGAATTTTCGCCTTTTCGAAATTTCTCCAAAAATTCAAATAGTTTATTTCGTAATTTAAACGCAAACCTTTTTCACAAGTACAATTTCAGACCAACCTATAAGGGTGCTTCAAACATCCATAGACCTCTCGATATCGTCCATACAAAGTACCGTAGGAGACACCCAAAATGCGTGCAGCTTTCTTCATTTCCAAGCGTTTATTTTTGATAGCATCCAGTACCTGAAATAATTTTTGAAGAAAATACGCTCGACAATAACTACTACGACTACTTTTACACTGCTAAACTTACGCGTCGCGTGAACGGCTCCTCCCAGAACTGCGGCCTTCGTCCTTTTGCCAAATAATCATCCATTTTGATTACATCCTGCCACTCAGACATTTCTTCGGTGGTCAATCGCAATTCTGTGCCATCGTACTCCTCCATTTTTATATCAACATACTCCTGATCATTTCCATTGGCGGCTGCTACAACGCCACTCGACGAGGACGCTGTTGCTCCCGTCGACGGTACGGCGGCCGTAGGCGCATGTACGAAATCGTGTGTTATTAACATGCCATGTTCATTTAGCAAATAACCCTCAGGCGCGTACTTGTTGTAGCCATGCGTACCGTGATGCAGCGATGGTGGTGGCGGTGGCGGCGGCGCAATCTGTTCACTATTGACACTTGCGCGCTTGTGCGAACCACTCGATGCAAATGAGGCATTAGTAGCCGAAGCGCTGCTAGTCTTTTCCGCTGTTTGTCGCACACTCTCCATTTCCTCTACTGGCTGAGGCACATTTGCGGCTTGTTGTTGCTCATCCACCTCAGCACCTGCGACACGTTCTGAGGGTTGATCAGACATTTCGCTTTGTGTGACACGTTCTCGGAGCTGTTGTTCTTCCCGCTCATGTTCGCCGTTCTCTGCGCTGCTATCCTTGCGTTCTTCGCCACTTGAACGCTTGCGCGTAAGCGCACTCTCGCGTTCCTCTGAAGTACGTTCCTTGCGCTTCTTCAGCTCCAATTTCACCATGGGATTTACTTCCTTCTCATCAATAACAACGTCGCACTTTTGCTCCTTAGCCAAAGATGCTTCGTTATCGCACTCAATAACTGGCTCGCTATCGCCACCACCACCCACATTCACCTCCAAATTGCTGGTAATCCACTCGGGATCTGCTTGCGCATCATCCTGTTCGACATCATCTACATCGGCTCGTAGCTGGTGATGGTGTTGTTGCAGCTGCTGTTGCTGTTGGCGTTGCAATTGGCGCATGCGCTTATTGTGTTGCTGCTGCTGGATGTGCTGGTGGTAGGCAACCGCTGCGGCTGATGTAGACGACGATGGCGGTATGGGCGAGATGACGGCCAGGCGCCGTTGCTCATCGCTGTAATGACGCTGCGCCTCTAAGTAGGCCTGATGGTGGTGATGATGCGCTTCCAAACCACCATAGTGTGTAAGCTTTCGTCTACAATGTAGAAAATTATACTTTAGCAAACGAAAAAGGAAGCCAGCAAACACTCAAAAACCCATACTCACACATTGAAAACATCATAGGCATCGTCAAGTGGCGGACGTCCACGCTTACGTTTCGGTCCCAAGTAGTGTTCCACCGGCGATGCGGCTGACGTCACAGCAGCTGCGGCAGCGGCAGCAGCAGCAGCAGCCATTTGAACGCTGTTCATCGATGGAATTGGCGTCAATGTCGGTAAACGCTGTTGCGCATGCGTGCTGGCCTTCGGTGATGACAACTTTCGTTCGCGCTGCAGTGGCTGTGTTGGATGTTGCTGATCCATAAGACCCGGCGAGCCAATGCGCTGCTGGTCAAGTCGTGTGCCGTACATATCATGCACGAGTGTGGGCGAGTGGAACTCGGTGGCAGCGGTGGGCAACGGCGGGCCATCATCGTCGTCACGCCAGGAAACTTCCGCCAAACCTTTGATTTTGAGATCATCTGCAGTCTTTAAGAGTGATGCTAAACTTGCCTATGTGTGCAGAAGATGAAAAACACATTGAAATTTATTTTAAAATTTTAAAAATTCACCTCATCCGGTCTTCACTTACATGTTCCACATTTATTTCGCCTTTGTACATAAATTCAATTAGACATTTAACATCGGCGAATGTGACGTCCTTCATTATAATTATTGGATCGCGCTCACTGGCATAGTTGGTCAGCACTGTGTCAAAAAAGCTGCTGCAGGCGCAAAGCACAACGCGATGAGCGCGGATCAGTTGGCCCTCGCAAGCCAAAGTTACATCGCAAAAGCAGCCACGATCCAGCAGCTGTGAAAACATTGTCTGTAAATTACTGTGATGGTACTTCCATCGTAGGCAATATTGTTGTGGCAACATGATGGCTGAAAAGGAAGAGGAAAAGGGGAAAAATTAATAGATTACATAAATCTTTTATATTTCTTATATACAAAACTAAAAGAACTAGTAAATGCGTATCATAACAGTTAAACATATTAAAAATAAATATATAAATTCATTTGGAGGTTTGCTATTTGGCTTTTCGATGAGAAATCGAAATGCTTCCTAAACCCAGAAACTCAGAAAGACAGATAAGAATATCTTCCAGAAGTTAGCACTGCATTTCAACAAAACATAATACATTACCCGGCGAAGTCGAATTTTGGGCATAAATACGAGAAGCTGTGGCGAAAAGATAGGAACTGAAACGAACGCAGCCTTTAAATTCGGTTGACTACATATTCGTTAATTCGAAAACTCTGGACCCTACTCCAATAAATTTTCGTGATCTAAGTCGACGGTCTATGCCATATTTACCAGTGTCTCGAATTGGAAAGCAAAGGCAGGCAGTGGAATTCCCACACAAGAGTTCTTAATAAAAACTAGCCTACGAATTTCTGAACTTTGTAACGTCTTCCAGGTGAACTAAGCCTTTTCACGCCAGTTTAGTCAAGATGAGCTACTCAGTAGAGGCTGTAATATATCTGAATACTTTGATCTTAGGCTACTTCCACCTAGTGACGAAGTGGTTTGGGATTGGGGTTTTATTCACTAGGAAGTGTAAGATATTCCAAACGACCCTACCCTCAATTAGAGACATTGCGCTTTCTGTCGGAGTCAACTAAATACTCAAGCTTCGTTCCATTTAGGTAAGAACCTGCCGTGGAAGCCTAAAGTTGAATAGAGAGTGAAACAGCTATTAGTGGATTTTACTGCTGCAGGGGAGAGGGAAATAGGTAAGAGATGAAGCCTTTCTGATAAGGCTGTTCATTGGCTCTATGAAACCATAGTTAGACCTATAATTTGTTATGGAGTTTTGGTCTTTTGAATAGGGCGAAGCTTGACGAAAGGGATGACGGAGAGGTATTTTGAAAGGGGCTCCTTTAAATCTCAAATTTAAACAGAGACAGCTACCATTGCGGAAGCATTCTAAGGGCAAAAAAATGTCTATTATACTCTGCTAGCCAAACGATTGGGTCTGATTATTTCCAGGCCACAGATTTGCAAGAAGGTGCACTGTGGATGAGTTAATTAAGCCAGGAATTGCACCCTTACGTCAATATCACTGAGGTGAGGGCGAAGAGGTACCCAGCGTACACCGGGTAAAAACAGGAAATGTACAGCCTTTCTAGCCGAATATGGGCAACAAACGGTCAAGGCATCGTCTGGGGCTCACAAAGCCACAAATCTCAATTCTGGTGAGTGACACTCTTCAATGGGAATGCCCGCGGTAAAATTAAACATCACACCGGATCCTCACTGTCACAGGTATAGTGTTTGTGGCTTGTACAGTGGCTCAAACTCAAAATCATAAAATTTTTAGAATATTCGCAATCTTTTCCATTTTGAAATTTTTATTTTTTTATTTTTTATAAAATTATAGCTATTTATCTAGCAAAAACAAAAAAAAAAA